GAAATATGATTGTAAAACGTATCGAGACGAAAATCTTTGTTTATATACAGACAATAACTTCTGTGCCAGCGGTCTCTTTTGTCCAGCCTCGCTGTGGTTTAACAATGCCAGAGATACGTGTCTAAAGAAAGAACAGATTTGTGACGGCGTGCAGGACTGCCTGGACAGCAGTGATGAGGAGAACTGTATCGACTGTGTGGAGACCCTGACAGCAGATGGGACGTGTTTACCCAGCTTGTGGTTTTATAACGGCTCTAAACCATTCCAGCAACGCTACGTTCTTACTAGCAGAAATTCCACAGAGTTCGACGTCAAGGCAACATGCCATAATAAAACGATGTGTTTCCTTGACAACGAACCAGGCAAGCCTCTAACACAATGCGACAAGACAAATGATTCAAAACTTGAGGGAGAACCAACTAGCTGGGCAGCAAGGTGTGTTTACCTTAGAGGTCGGATATCAAAACAAATGTTTGGCTGCACTGATCTCTCACACTTAGAAAACTGTGAAAGTTTTCAATGTGGAACGAGCTTTTTCAAATGTGATTTATCCTACTGTATACCAATATACCTGGTCAATGACGGAAACAAAGACTGTCCTTTGGGTGACGATGAACTGGATTTTATTTTGGAGGACAGGCAGATAATTACCGATGACTTAGTCCCATGTAGAAAACCTGGTACGTATGTCCACACTGTCCACGTATGTGATGGCCGCGACCAATGTGCAAATCGCGAAGACGAGCTGCTGTGTCATGAGAAATGTCCGTCAGGGTTTACGTGTCTATGGGGAGCTGCTCGAGTCACGAATCACAGCGCAGTTGACTTCATGCAACTTTTTCAGTCAATTGACAAGAGAACAGCTGCAATTAAAGCGTCAGGTCTAGACTTATCTAAAGCTTACATACCTCAATCAACAACTTTACCAAAACTGTTAGAGCTGTATTTATCAAATTGTAATCTCAACGACAAAACTCTGATGCAGCTTTTAGTTTCGTTTAAAAATAGCCTCTACAACACTTACCTGCTTGACCTGAGCTACAACAAAATCAACTTCAACAACTTTGAGAAGTTTTCTCCTTTTTTAAGAAATCTGCACTATTTTAATTTATCCCATACATCTGTAATTAATGTTCATTTACCTTTCCATTTTGTACCGCATATGCATACCATTGATCTGTCCTTTACACAAATTGTATCATTACGCTTCATACATTCAAAAGAAATTATATTGAAATATTTAAATCTTAGTTATACTAAAGTCGATCAGTCCGACTGGTTTGATACAAAGATAACTATTGACATCTTAGATTTAAAAAGCTCAATGATATCCTTTAATTCTAAAAACGCTCTGTTTTTCCAAAAAATGACCATTACATCAGAAATCCACGGAGACAGCTACAAATTATGTTGTGAGAAATTTAGAGGGCCGGGCATAGCCGCACACCAGTGTTATGCGCCAAGTGACGGTATATCTTCTTGTGAAAATCTGCTCAGTGATTTAGTGAAACGTTCACTGATATGGGTCGTAGCGCTACTTGGTAGTATAGGCAATTTTGTAGCAATAAGTTACAGGCTGTTGTATGAAAAAAACATTTTTAAGCAGGGTCACAGATTGTTTGTGACAAACCTGGGCTTGTCAGATCTGTTAATGAGCGTTTACCTGATAATCATAGCAGGAGCTGATGTTTACTACCGTGACAACTACGTGCTGTTTGACACAGAATGGCGAGACAGTTCATTATGTAAAGCCGCTGGATTCCTCGCTACCCTATCGAGTGAGAGCTCTACCGTCTTCGTGTTACTCATTACATTAGACAGGTATTTGATCTTTAGAAACCCCTTGAAGCAGGTTAAGTTCTCGCCCAAAGTTTTGAAACTGATCTTAGCTGTGGTCTGGACACTTTCCTCCGGCATTTCTCTGATTCCACTCATCTTTCCAGACTGGCAAGTTTTCTCTTCAAGTTCTGTTTGTCTTGGACTTCCTATCAATTTAAAACACGAGCTAGGCCAGATGTTTTCATTGACTCTCTACATCATTGTCAACACTCTGTTGATTCTTCTTATAATTATAGGCCAATGTGTGATCTTTAAAAGTATCTATTCTTCCAACTCCATGATCAACACGTCAGTCCAGAGAAAACGTGAGATCACAGTCGCACAAAATCTCTCCCTGATTGTCCTGTCCAACATCCTCTGCTGGCTGCCCATCTGTGTCGTTGGTCTCATGGCATTCGCTGGTCAGACATTTAGCCCAGACACGCATGGCTGGCTGGCTATCATAGCCCTACCCCTCAACTCAGCTGCCAACCCAATAGCTTACACTTTACCGTTTGCCTACGCTAAGTACCAAGAATGGACAAACGTAAATAAACAAGAATAACAAACTACTGCATTTTTACAACACTGTACGCAACAATTCAAAATGTCTTATGCTCTCAGTCTGAGTGATCGTGTATATATTGTATTAGTTGCTTTCGCCCATTAAAAATACAAATACAAAGGCCATTATTTTTTTAACCTACCAATATAAACCATCCCAATATTTTTTTTATTTGAAACGGGTGTTGTTACAGTTATAACATGTATAGTTGACCTCGTTTAGAAATGACATATCCTTATTTAAAGGTCCTGTTTAAAAGGAAAGATATGTATGGTTTAAGACCTACGTGAGAAGTTCAATTTAATATGCATGAAATAGTAACATTCTGTAACCAACTGTTGCCAAGTGGTTTAGTTCTCTATATAAACCGGGCCTGGATTTTTTTCTTATTGTTGATTTGTGTTGTAAATTTAAATTCATATTATTAGTTAAATATATTTAACTTAATTAACAGTGGTGGGGTTTTTTGTTTTGTTTTTTTTTTTTTCGTTTTTTTTTAAATACTTTTATAAATAAAGATATAGGCATATACGTTTTAAACTTCTAGGTGTCACAGACTGTATTACTGGGTATATTTATTATATTGTTTTTTACATGAAGTTGCATGAATGTAGAGTACCTGGCCAACGGAAGGACTGTCTGAGCGACTCGTCATGTATTTTTCCATGCTTTTGTGAGATCGCTCATTGACATAAGGGGAGAGAATGGAACGTATAAAAGGAGGCGCAAGGTGAACGATGTGCGCGTGCCTGGCTGTGACGTGTGTAGTAGGATGTCACTACATTACTTTGTTTCTTGACTGTACTATAATAATCGTTTTTCCTACTATGCATCATTATCAGTGTTCTTCCAGACTTTTTTCTCCGGGGGGCACTTGAAATTTTCGGGGGGGGGGGGGGGGGGGGGGGCGGTAGACTTTCTTCGGGAGGGGGGGGGGGCGGACACTGTTAAAAGTATATATTTTCTATTTAAATGATATAAATTTCATTTCGTTCGGGGGGGGGGGGCGGTAAAAAAAATTCGGGGGGCCAACCCCCCCCCCACCCCTCCCCGAAGAGATGCCTGGAAGAAACTCTGATCATTATCATTTCATTGTGGATTTGTAAATAAATTTTAAAGTTACAAACTACTGTTGCTCTTGTTCCTGGATGAACGAACCCACTACAACGACCGTATTGTAATACTAACAAGAAATAAGTGTTGTTACACTAGGCTTATCACCAGAGGCGTTGCTAGGATTGGGTGGGTGTGGAGGCAGCAACAGGCGAGACCATAAGGGGGCTCCAAACTGGGGAGAAAATAAAAATAAAATAAAACATTCTGAACTGCTTTACTGAATTATACACAGTCAAAGTTTTTAAGAAAAATACTACTTGGCTTTTCCAGACTGATTTAATTGTTTTCTACATCAGCTGTGTCATTGAAATAAAAACTGTTAAGATACATTGACTGGTCAAATACCCAACTTTCCCATATGAGGGAGGGTGCGCTTTTTTGCCAACTTGAACACCTTTTTTTTAACGGGGAGAGATGGGGCGCAAAAATTGATTGTTCGTCCCATAAGCAGGAATGGGCCGCTATACTGCTGCTTATCACTGCATAATATATGTGCTTTCGTTGAAATTATCAAAGAGAAGGGTGCGGCGTGTAGGTCTGGAAAGCATGTGAGTCCCCTCACCTCATCCCATTCCCACGAAGAAATGCCCGAAACATTGAATCTCTTAATTTTTAATGCTAAAAATATACGTTAACTTGACTAGGAACGGTGTGTTGCCATGATAAGATCTGCATGCAACAAGCGTGGTAAACTTATAGCAATAAGTATCTCCTAGCTTAACACGCTTAGAGCAAGCTGACCACAGTTCTACGTGTAAAGTATATTGACCGTGCAGATATCATGCAGGACAAACTTCTGTTTGTGAAACATGAAGATGTCGACGTATCTATAGTCCTAGAGGTAAGTTTTCAAATTGAAAATATATAAAGTAAACCTACAGTATTTTTTCTGAGATTATGCTCTTGGGAGGAGGGATATATTAAATTTTCCGAGGGAGGGGTTGAGGTTAAAGTATAAATTATATTTATTTCTATTTCGGTGGACGTGCTCAGATGTGCAGTGTTCCCACCTGCCCCCCCCCCCCCCCCCCTACCCTCTTTGAGAATTACTACTATATAACTAGCTGCTATCAGTAGCCATAAAACATAAAAATCACAGGGTTAAATGTTTGAAACACATTGCACCATTTCGTGTCACTTGATATACAAACAAGTTGGTCGTAGTTAACAAAATAGTGATAACATATACCATCACTTTAATTACTTCATCCATCCACTCTCGCTTTTGCATTTAAATTGTCATATTTTAATAGATCTAGAATGAAGCGAATTTTAAATTTCAGTCCGAAAACCGGATGTGCAAGTTTTAATTTTACCTATCGGAAATAGCGAAACCGAAACTGAAACAAGACCTAGAAAAGTAGGCTAGAAAGATTAGATCTAGATTCTAGAATAGATGGAGATTTAAATCTAGGCCTAGATCTAGTCTATATTCTAGAATCTGGATTCTTTAGGCTATAGTTTATACTTATAGTAATAAGCCTAATGAATGACATAGATTTAATTATCTAGAATTAGAGTTGAATCTAGTCTAGACTCTAGCTAGAGAGTAGAGAGCTAGACTCAGACTAAAAAAAGTAAAAATTCAAGGTAAAAGTAAAACCGTGTTACCGTAGTCATCAGTGAAGTGTCACTGTTTCTGTTGCACATTTGTATAGTGGAGTCGGGTCGTAAAATAATTCGGCCAAAACTTAAGAAGACAATTAGGGCCTAGATTCTATATTTAAATACACATCAAGGTAAAAATCCATTTTAGCGTATTTTATTCTCCGCTGCTTGTTTACCTCCAGTTGAGCGTATTTTATTATAATAACCGAAACAAAACACGATTTATATATTTGTATTGTATTTTTGTTTTGACAAATAATTAAAAATGAATAAAAAAACAAAGAAACAGACTTTGTTTTAGATTTTGATATTTTACTTTTGTCAAAACTTGAGAAAAATCCAAATTTAGAATATTGAATTTGCTATGTTCGTGTGTCAGAATTTTCATGGCAATGGGTGAACTACGCAAACGTAACTCACAATTGCAAGGCGGTTAAGTTTGTATTGTTACATTTACAAGTATCTCCCAGACATGATACTATAAATAAACATTTATGAACTTACAATGAACCCAAAACAGGCCAACACAATTTCAAACAGCTATTGCCCGAGCTATGATGTATGCTGATAATTAAAGTCAATGTGAACTCAAGGTGAACCCGCGACCATGTAAGGATTTTTCTCCCACTGACGATCACAAGATATAAATTATTGGAACAGTTCTAATATTTTTTTATCTTTTTTTTTTACCTTTTCTAATTAAAAATCACATTCATAAAAAAATAAGTAGTTCTAGTGTTTTCCTGACGTTTTTGTGTCTTTCGGTTGTGTTTATAATAAAATATGCTCAATTGGAGGTGAACGTGAAGAGGGGAATAAAGTACGCTAAAATGGAGTTTTACCCACATCAATACATTTTCATACGAATAGAAGTTAAATGGAAGCTACTCGAAATAATATTTCATTAATTCCCTCTCCCTTACAATACATTAAAAGTTAATGTGAGGGACAGGGAATCGATGATTGAATATCATAAAATTATAAATATGTCTTTAAATATGAGTAGCTGAGTAGGCCTATAATTATTATATATTATATTAGTATATTAAACAATATTTTCGTATATTTTAATAAAATATTGGGTAAAACCTTCATTTAGCGTCGGTTATTATTCCGGAATAGTATAGCAGTAAAAAACAGTAAAACAATGGCAAAGTCTGTCACACAGTTCCAAAATCCACCGGAAGTACTGTAAACCATACATAGAGAACGTTTAAAATGTTGATAGATTTATTTTGATTGCATGTTAAATACTGTTTTATCAATCATTTTGTATTATAATTAGTTATTTTTAAGTGTTTCAGCAAAATATTTCTGCTACTAAATATTGTTTAACAGGGTTCAATACGGTTCATGCGCAATGGAAAAAGTCTTGAATTTAGAAAAGAGAATTTCACACTTTTTAAAAGTCTGGACGGGTCTACACTGTGGTATGACGTTTTTCACTGGATCGCAGAAGAAACCCAATTTCTCAGTTACTACGTCATTAGGGGACCTGTCTTTTTTGTTGTTGTTGGGTGACTGACCGTGTAAATGTGTTAAAAGTATTTAAAATTGTTATTTAATGAAAGAATGATCAGCCATACGAATTTTGACCTCTTTTTTTTTTACCCGTTATTGTTTCGTTAAGTTTCTCTGAGATTGCAGGCAGGTAGTCTTATAAAAAAAATATTGTGAGGGAAGCTGTGAGTGGTAGTCTACGTATAATTTAACTACCTGTATTTTCGATTCACTCTTCAAACTGTTTTTTGAAAAGCTGATAATTAGGGCTAGACTAACCCGCCCTTCCCAGTAATAACAGACAAAAGTTATAAGCAAAAATAATGGTGTGGTTACAGGGTCTGGTTTCATTTTCAAAATAAGTTACCGACCCTGTTTCTAGTCACTTTTACTATTTTTGTAATCATTTTTACTATTTTCATAATCTAGATTTTTTTTTACTTGGCCTAACAACTAGCTAGATCTAATTATTAATTAATGGTCGCAAATCCGCTTCAAGCCAAAAAACATTAAACAAATTATTATATTTGACTTTATTTGACTTTATTATCTATATTTATATATATTTTTTAAAGTTTTAGAACTACTAATTTAAATGGTCAAATAAACAATGGTTTAACATAACTTAAGTTACCAAAACTCAACAAATATTACCCGATAATTTCAGACGCTAAACTAAGGTTTTACCAATATTGTAGATATTTATGGTTCAATCTATTCAAATATCCTGAAATTAATTTTTATCATAGATAGTTTATTAGGTAATAAATTTTGTTTTCAAAATGTCAGTATCATGAATATCAAACACCCAAATTTGTAATATCATATTATTAATTATATGGGGGCTGTCCATAAATGATGTCCATGTCACATGATTTGCTACAGAGTGAGTAAAGATTTGTGACGTCAACTCAAGTGGGTCTGCAGTTTATGAAGTGTAGGACTAATAAAAGGAGGTGAACCGGGAAAAATGCCTAGGACATTGATGGAGAACCTTTATAATGCTATGTTCCAGCCTGCTAGTTTGAGATGCCTGGCACAACGGCCTCAACACATTATCCCCGTCAAAAAGGCTTGCCACTAAATGCCTGCGGACGAATATTCTGTGTCTAATGTGGGGCGTTAGGCATACGGCCATCAGCATTAGAGCACCAGTAGGATAAGATGATTGTAATGTATTAGTCATCACAAGATAACTGACAACATTGATTGCTTTTTTTATCTAGTTTGAGCTACAAAGATGACTGCCAACCTGCCCCATCAACATGTTGATTTTATTCAGTTAAAACTTAATTTCCTGGACTGTCAAAGAACACATATACACAAAGTAGTGGATAGATATGTTTCCTCTGTAAGTTTTTTTAAAATAAATATTCTGTGAATTCTTGGTGCCATTGGTTTTTTTTTTTTTGGTGTGGCTACAAGTACAAGCACTCTTAAATTCTGATTACAATTTTTCAATTTCTTTAATTAAAGAATTTCAGTTGACCTCTCTATGTATTGCTATATATTATCATTATGCCGATAAATTTTGTGATAATGTAGATCTAAAATTAAATTAATTACTTGTATTTGTATACAAAAAGGGGTGTTTTTTTTTTAATTATTGACAGGAGCTAATTATTATAGATCTAGAAAATGTGTGCTTTTGTTTCTGAAAAAAAATTTATTGGGTGTGGGCAGCCCTGATGTAGTATGACTTTACAACTTTATACATATTTTGTTACATTGCATTTTTGCAAAATAACAGATTCTTCATATTAATATATACCAATTGCTAACACTGAAGTCAATCAAACTTACAAATAAAGTTGTAGCAGTTTATTTCATATGTAAATTATACCTGTGCCTTTGACACTATTAGCTCTATCATCTATGTGGTAAAAAAGGAGGAATTCTGTAGTGTCCAGTCACTTAAGCTTTCCCAACTTAAGTTTAATATAATTACCAGTGTTGCTTCAACAATAAAGCATCTTTTTTAAAACAGTGAAGTATTTTTAGACAATTCAGCAAAATTTTTATTTTTTTTAACAACACATATGATTGTTAATCCTGTCCTCATTTATTTACACACAAAAATGTGTCTCCATAATGCATCGAGGTCAAGGATGCTGTAAATGGCTGGTTGACAAAGACAGACAGAAAACAGACAGACCTGATGCACTGGTGCCATGTGATAGACAGTGCTGCGTTGTTTTTAGTCTCAAAAGCTGAAGAAATTGAAGGTAAAAAAATAATTTGTCTGATTTCAGATATGGTTTGTGTGTTAGTTAGGTCTATGATGTAACCTCACTGTGAGCCTGCACATGCAGCTAGGTTGTTACAGTTTGTTATTAATTACTGAAAGACTGATCATGCGTAATGAAAACTGCCGTCATAAAATTATAGGAGTGTGGTTATTTTATTTTAGATTTTCTATAGGTAAAATCATAATACCATGTTCAGATAATTTGATGCAGGTATTTTACTTTCTAGTATAGAAAGTATTGTATTTGTGCAAAAAATTTAAATCAATATTTTAACAAAAACTTTGCAGTTTTGTTTGTATGTGTATGTGTCTGTTGGTAAACATGATAACTAGAGTACCATTGTTTTGAAGAAATTTGATATGCAAGAATTTATTTTATCAAATTTGTAGTCTTCTATCAATTTTTGAGTCTTTTTCAATAACCAGAAGTGCTACTTACTCTAACTTCTGGTTTCTCTAAAGGAAATAATTTAAGTACTGTTTAGGTTAGGTGGACAAAATTACACATATAAGTATCATATTGTATGCACTGGTTTCTATTAACTTTTGAAAGATTTTCGTTTACCGGAAGTGATATTTCACTCTATTCTTTAGATCTACCTCCAAAATCAAACAAGTGCTGCCTTCTTTGACTAAGGCTATGGAAGCAAACCCAAATAAGCTTTCATGTTTATTCAGAATATTGCACTCATTGGTTGCATTCATTTAGTGCAAATTCTATTTTTCTACAAGATTGTATTCTATTTAAAAAATAGATAATATTAAAAAAACTAATATTAAAAAATGTTTCTTTATTTACTTTTTAAAACATTTTAAAGAACTTTTTGCATTTATGTGTTTTTTAGCAACTGTAGAGCGATTTCCAGTAAACTAGTATTTAGCTGTATTTCTGATTTCTCAAAAACCTTCAGATTGATTATTTTGTATCATATTCACATAAAGCATGTCCTAAGAACTTGAAAAACTAATGGTTTAGTAACAAATGTCTATATTACTACAGCCTTATTACAATAGAAGTTGAAAGTGCCATTTCAACCCTTATTGTTATATAAGAATATACAAGAAACTTAAAAATCATTCCCTCATTTCTTTTGTGAAAGTAGCCAAATCAAAATTTGTCAGCATCTGAAAAAGCATGGCTTTTATAACTACCTTTGTCTGTTATTAACATTATGCCAATAGTTATGCTGTTTTCTTGGACTTTGTGGTTGGGCAGCTGAATACATGCAAAACATAGTTAAGTTCCCTTGTATTTAAAGGCTGGATTGTAGCTAGTTTAGATTGACCAGGAATTACCTTCTCACTCAGGAGAAATTAACATTAAAGTATAACATAAAGGGGATAAAAAGGCTTGCATTTAGTTGGGACAAAAGAAGGTAAATGCTACAGTAGTTGCCCTATTGACTAGTATTTCTCATTTAAGGAAACTTTCTTTAAATAATAACTGCTACATTTTTCTGTATTTTAGTTTTATTTACAAAGTGTTCAACTAAATATTTGATTAGAATTTATAATCATGGGCCTATATAAAACATTTAAGTTTTGATTGGAGAAATACTAAGTCACTTTTTTCAACCAATTACTTTTTTTTATTGATCTTTATATTTATGTAATAACTAGTTTGTTAACATTCGTTTGTTAATTTTACCTTACAGAGCAAAGTGCTGGTGCTCCTGTTGAACCGCAGCCTATTGTAACACCTCATCAGACTGGTAATTTTAAATGTTCATTTTGTTTTTGTTGTGTATAATTTAATGCTAATTTAGTGTCAGTTTTATTTCACCAAGTAGCTATTTGCTCAAATGTATTTTCTGTATTCGAAGGATTCCAATGTATATTTTTTTAACCGCATTATCTTGTTTATGTTTATAGTTTAGTTAGTTTTGTCCTCTTTACGTCTTATGGAGCACAGGACCTCAACCATAATCTTCTACTTTGTCTGGTTCCCGGCTGTTCTTTTTGCCATTCCCAAGATATCCCTAGGGTCTTCAGTTTTCCAATATTACTCTGTTTATATGTATATTAATCATTCATGTTTTCTTTGTTTTAAATCAGTGACAATATCCAAACATGAATTTCAGAATGAATTAAACTACAATATAATTTTTTTTAAAGAAATTAATATTTTTTACTGCCTTTACTTTGCAGATATGAAAGATCTAAAAGACAGTATTGATTTGATTCAAACAAGAATTGAATCCCTTTCATCCCACATGGCAACACTAGAGAATAAATTGGAACGCACTTCAGAAAAATGTTTTCAACACATTCAAAACACAAATTCTGAAGTGGACTCATTTAAAGCATTTTCTAATGAAAAATTTAAGGAGCTATCTCATAAGCAAACAGAATCCCCGACAAAAACAAACCCTAGTCAGGCATTACAGGATAACAAGTTAGTAAAATTATCCCTCCGTTTGGACAAAATGTCATCTAGGCTATCTGGGACTGAAACTGATTTTACTGACCAGATAAAAAAACTCAAAAACAAGACAGAAAAAGAAAGTGCTGAGGTGTCTGATAGAATAGCAGAGCTTAGCTCAAGTCTACACAGTCATTATTTAATGATCAACAACATTGGCAGAAGGACTTTCACTACTTATCCAAACATGTCGCCCAACACCACTCTCTCACAAGAACTGCAGGGGTTGTCACAAAAAGTTGAATCACATGACACAGCTCTGCAAACGGTTAAAAATGATCTGGAGAAAATTAAAAAGTTGGAGACAAGGTTGAATGCTGAAAGTGCACATAAATTTAAAAATGAAAAAGAATTACAAGCAAAGATAACAGATCTACAAAATAAGGTAAGCTGGATGTTTTTTGTAGAACTCAAAATAAACGAAAACACTAATGATACTAATTTGAATTTTAGAAATAATTAGAAAATTAAATCCTGTTTATATATATATATATATATATATATATATATATATATATATATATATATATATATATATATATATATTCATATGTATTCATATGCTCACCGAATGTGGTCATTTATTTAATAGGTATTTTGTTTGCTATCATAACAACAATCTTCAGTTTACTATGTCTACATGTGAGCTATCTTTGATCTATCTTAACATTCCTTTCATGAAAATGGGGCTACAGTGTTGACAAATTCAGCACAGCACTAAATAAAACATTAGATTTCTGTGTCTCCAGTTTATTACCTCCAGTTTAATTATTGTACAACGCAACTTTTAATTATCAACTGATAATGTTGAGCAAATATAATATTCTGTTTCAGCACCAATTATTAGCAAAAATGGTAGCAGGGAAGCTGCTTCCCCTTGATAATCTCTTGCAAATTTTGAAAGCAACACAAAAAGCTGAAGGAACAAAGGTAACAAAACAAAACCAAAATTATCCTAGCATATTATATTTTTATAGCATATCTCTTGCAGGAATTGTGTTTATATGACTGGATAAATTATATTATTTCCTGCAATGAATAGCAATTGAGGATTTGTTTATCCTAAACTTAATTTCCAAATCTTTTTAGCTTTGAGGTGTTACATTTAAGTAAATTTTTGATATTCTTCTGATTTACAGTTTAGTTCAGTATTTTCAATTCCTTATTTATTACAAGTCACCCTTACATAGCTAGCAGTTAACAGGGCAGATAAAGTAGGTTTTCTATGACCTTGGATAGTGTGATCAGTTCTGTGCGCAGTTCCATTACTTGCCCTAAAATGAGCCAGCTATCAGAACAGGGACATCCTATGGGCTCAAGCCTAGAGTCTGAACTAGAGACTTTTGTGTTAGCAGGCTTACACTCTACCCTCCAACCCTGCTGTTCCATTGTTTATTATAGTACACTTTATGTCACTAACCAAGTATTGGTTGCAATATTTTTATTGAAAAAGTTTCACATCTAATATATAAAGCTCAGTTCTGTAACGTGTGGCAAAAAAGTTTGTCGTTGACAGTTCTATGGATTTAAGTGTTAGATTTTTTATCGTGCTCATAGTCTAAATTTACGAGTCAAAAAATTACCATTGAAAGTCTTTAAAAACAATTTTCATTCTATTTACTTAGAAGAATAATTTTCAATTATGAACGCGACATAAAATTTTTAAAAAGTGTATCGACGTTTATAAAATTTCTAAAATTGTGTCGGAAATGTATTGACTGCACAGTTACTTCCCTTTAATAAAAAAAAATTCTTAAGAAGAAAGAATTTACATTTTATTACTTTGTTTTTGGTGTTAAGAAAAAAAAAATAATTACATAAGTAGCGGGGATTGATTAAGTGCAATGTCGTTAGGTATTTTTAACACTGCCTTTTATTTATTCTATACACTGAACATACTGTTCAATATTTTTTTTTTTTAAATCAATAACATTTAATAAGCCAGGTCCTACAAATCCTATATGTTTATTTCTTTCCATTTACGGATAAGCTTGGAGTATTATCATTTTTGTTCACTAAATTGAAACAGGCGCGTCCGCCGGCGCCCTTGCACGGTTCGATTTGGCACCCTGGGCTATCATGTGAGCGCTATGCTGCATAGTTTTGTTTTTAACAGTGCGATAGACTATGAGTAAGAAAGGTTACTATAGTCTTTAAGTGAATCAAATCCGGGCGTCCTCCGGCACCCCGACAGGGTGCTATTTGGCGCCCCGGGCCTTCCGGTGTACGCTATGGTATATACGTTCGCGTGAGTTCAAAAGACTATGAATAAGTTATGTACTATAGTCGTTTACTAAGTTCAATCAGGCGGTGACGTCATGGTGCGTCCTCTGGCGCCCAGACAGGGTGCTTTTTGGGGTCCCGGGCCTCCCGTGTTCGGTTTCGCGCCTACGTTCATTAAAGTGAGTGCAAAAGACTATGAATAAGTTGGGGTACTATAGTCGTTTATTAAGCTGAAACAGGCGGTTCCGCCCCGGGCTAGACTCTGAGCACTGTGCGTTTATGTTCGCGTTAGTGTTTTCTTTGTGTTTAGGTTGGGTTTGCGTTAGTGGTTGCGTTTTGATTTGGTTCGTTTTTGTTCTTTCTTTTTTCGTTTTCGTTTGTGTTTTATTTTCTTTGCGTTTGTGTTTGTATTTGTGTTTGTGGTTGGTTTTGCGTTTGTATTTGGTTTGTTTTCGTTTGTTTTTTCGTTTGTGTTTTTTTCTATGGGTTTGTGGTTGGTTTTGCATTTGGATTTGGTTTGTTTTCGTTTGCTTTTTCGTTTGTTTTTTTCTTTGTGTTCGTATTGGTGTTTGTGGTTTTGGTTGGGTTAGTTGTTAGGTTTTTGTTTTCGTTTGTATTTGTAATTGTGTTAGCGTTATGTTTGCGTTTTGTTGTTTTGGTTTTGGTTTGGGTGTGCAATGCCGGGTTTATGATGATTACTAAACACACAGGTAATGGTCTTTAACAGAAAGGTTTTTCACAGAAGCCAGAGCAGGGCCTGGCCGGGACGGCTAGTAAAAATATAAATCATAATTAATTTTTGGAATAATTATATCGATTATATGCAAAACTTTTTAAAAATTTATGTAGCTCTTTAGTTAACGTTCAGAGAGAAAAAATAATTAACTTGTTTAAAGATTAAGTCTTGTAACTTCTTCTGAACGAATTTTTCTTTTCATTTACAGGCTCCATTGGACCCCCAAACAAAAGTTGTGTGAAAGAATCTCTTGCTTGGCTATTGCATGATTGTGTTTATTGGTTGCTCAAATGAGAACATAGTGACTCATGTCAGCACTCCTGTGCTAACCAGCCCTAATGGGCTCCGGATTTAAACCTGATGGAAAGAAATCAACTGGGCATGTGTGCCATGATGGACTGACAATAGCTCTAAACCACTCGCTATGTGTAGTATGTACATAACTATAGTATTACAGTATGTTAACCAATTTTGTTTCATGTGAAGCAGACAAATGGGCAGGTCCTTTTTTTAAAAAACCAAATGTTCATTATTAGGGGAATTGTACAATCCCCAAGCATATTGTCATAGTACAGATTCTATTTTTATCTGCCACCATGTACGTGTTTCAGTGTGATAATTGGTAGTTTCCTTACCTGGAACCACCAATAGCATGCAATATTTGATTTTTTTTATATTTTTATTTTAATAAGACAAAAAATGCAAGTTGATATAAATTGGGGGTTTTTTCATGTAGGTACAAAATCTGATATTTTATACAAAATGTTCATGTTAATACTCTTATTGTTGGTTATATTTAATCTAGTTTTAATAAAAACTATTTTATTAGTATTTAGTTTTATTTTGTCTTTTTATTTTAATAAGACAAAAAATGCAAGTTGATATAAAATTGGGTTTTTTTCATATTGGTACGAAATCTGATATTTTATACAAAATGTTCTTGTTAATACTCCTACTATGGGTTACATTTAATCTAGTTTTAATAAAAAACTTCTATTAATTTACTTACTATTCAAGAAGGCTCTTCATGTATTTATTGTGGCTTATGTGTGTGTGTGTATGATGTCCTCCCCCCTAACAACCAGCTCTAATGTGTACCTGACTAAAGTTAGGGAAAGTAAAAGCATTTTGGGCATAGTGCTGACCACACTAACCCTTTATATGCAGATAAACTCTACTTCATCTGTCCTATGGACTGCCAGTTTTGAAAGGGTAACTATAATAACATAGTGCAGTTTCAGCTAGGTAGGTGAAATTTCATATATAAGTATTAGATTCTCTATATAGGTTTATAACAACCTGTCAGTGAGTTTCAGTAAATAAATGTGGTACATACTCTTTTTCAGATTTCTCAAAAATTTTCAGAATTTTGTTTATATATTATTATCATAATGCAATGCTTTAAGATATGTTTTGCTCTGTTTTCTTGAGAAACAAGCTGTTTTGTCACAAACTAAGAATATATATATACCAAAAAAATTTAGAGGAACTCAAATCTGGTTTTATTTAAAGACAGTACAGCCCCTACAAATAACAACAAAACAAAATTTTTTTTACACTAACTGGGTTTTTATTTGTCACAACAGCTACACAGAGTAAAGATTATTTTAAAACAAGTACGTTAAGAAATGTCTGAACAGCTCTAACCCAAGCTTAGGCCAGATTTTTTAAAATTTGATCAGCCCTTAATTTTTGGTCAAGGGTGGCAGGTTTACAATGTGCAGTGGCCAGGTATTGCAAAAATTTACGTCTGTCACAAGGAAAAAATGAAACCTAAAAATAAAAACAAGAAATTCTGGCACATTCCTCTGAAGTAGATCTTACATTGTATAATGTACATGACACAGCCATTGGCAAAACTTTTCTTTAAAGATTTAAAGAAAAAAATCCTTATATCTTTGTATAAGGGTAAATTAAAAAACATGCACAATAAGAACTACACACACGGAACAATTGTTTAATCACATATGTACATAAAACTGATTCATTTCAAAACCAACCAAAATTAAATTACACTGACTAGTAATACATAAAACAAAAATGAAATAATTCATTATATACATAATTAAAATAATGAGCTAAAGACTTCAGATGTAGACCCACATCAAGTCTAGCAAATCCTTAGGTTATATATATACACACACAAATTTTAAGAATTAAAACTGAGATTCAAAGATGTTTATTCTAGTGTATAAGGGTTGATTACTGCACTAAATGTAAAACTATGTAAGGTAGATGGTAAATCTATATAAATGAAGGATGGGGGGGGAGTGATTGATAATATTAACAGCTGCTCGTTTCCCATTCAAAGCATGAGACATCATCCCAGCACACAAGAACACATAGAAAAGGTTTCTATGTCAGTTAATGCTTAGAGAGTACATTTTAAAATTGCACAATGCACAACATGGAGAATATGAAATGAATTAATGAGTGTTAGTTGTAAATAATGACTTCGCTTGTGTTCTTTGTAAGAAGAAAAAATAAAATAGATTACATTAGAAAGGGTTACTAAAAAAGTTTGTTTTTTTATAAAGAATGAAAAAACCTGTATGATTTAAATCATATACTAATTTTTTTTTTATCTAATAGTAAAGCAATTTAAAAGGCTTATGTGATAAAAGATAAATTTGGACCAGAAACCTGGGCATTGAAATATTTTTTCTTGATTAAATCTAAATATCTCTAGCCTTTAATGTCTTGTAAAAAATTAAATCCAGTATCTAGATTTTTAGTAGTAATATGAACCTATTAAGAGTTATTATTTTATTTAATTTTTTTTTATCATAATAAAACAAGATATTCAGTGTATAAAAATGTATTCTATTGCTCAAGGGCTCTCTTAATTATATTTTCTGAAAATTAGTTGATAACATAAATTTCTTTTAAAAGATTGATATGCTACTCACACAAATGACAAGATTCAATACTTTAAAATGAATGAAACATTAAGAATCTCAGGTCAATTTTAGCATGCAGCTTCAAAAAGAATACTTGATCACTAGTTATGAAAAAAGTCTTCATAAAAAGTAATGTTTTTAATAAACAAAAATTATATGAATGTTTACATTAATACCCAAGATATCTTAAAATTCTAGATCTGAAATGCATAAGTGATTGTTTTAATAATAACAGAAATGTAAAATAAAGACTTAGGTGTAAAACTGTTTTTGTCTGTCATGACTTGTCTTTTAGTGCACAGTATACATGATGACTGCATTAATTAAATTGTAGGTGAATTTATAAAAAAGTTACCCCATCTCTGGAATTAAGAAACGAAATAAAATAACAGCCAACAAATTCCCTTTTTGATTGAACTAAAACTGTTGTATTGTAAATATATTAAAAAATAAATTTGACAACCAAATTAGTTTTTAAAGCATTCTCCTTTTCTTCCCTACTTTTCAGTAACTTGCCGCGAAAAAACACAATTAATGAATATGGTCGAAATGGTTCTGGCAAAGTGAAATCATGGAAGATGGAGAAGCTCCGACAAGAAATTTATTATGTCTAAACACAGTGGTGACTAGGCTTACGTGCTGGCTATTATGTGAAGCAACATCAGAGCAAGAGGGCCAACTTAATAATACTGATTTTAAGGGCAGAAAAAAAAGCAATCATTGCATAAAATAAACTGGAGATGCATCACAACACGCAGAGTGAAAGTTTTTTTTTTTTGGTCATCACATCCTCCGTTGAATCTTTAAATAGAACATATTTATTGTATTTAGTAATAGTTTAGTCACAGGCAAATAGCTGGTGCTTCATACAAATTCACCGCACACATTGATTTTTTTGGTTTAATAATAGAAAACACGAAGGCGAGGATTTTAGCATGGGGTTAGTGGTAGATGCAAGTTGAGTGAGTGATGCAAGCCAAAAAAAAAAAAATTAAAACAACCAACAAATCAGAAATTGGTGATCTGAAACAAGATTGTAGAGTCAGGAGTTACATGAAATTTTCATGAGAATATGTTTAACCATACAAAGGTTTTAATTACATCAAACTGTAGCATTAAATGTAATATAATTACATTAGGTGTGATAAAGTCAGGATTTGAAGATCAAACACTGAATCGTCCATTGATGTTGTCAGGATTTATGGGTAAGTTCTCACAAGATCTAAAGAGTTTATCGTCAAGTATAGGTCATTATTAAGTAGAGGTCAGCATTTAACTTCATCAAGTATCATGTACAGGTCATCAAGTAACTTGTACAACGGTTAATAATTTATCTATAAAATAAATTTCTATAGATATAATGCAAAGGACACAGAAAGAATGTTAAAGACTATTATTACTCAATAAACTGACAAGGAAATATAACAGTGGAGCTCTCTTTCAAAAAAGTTTAGATTACATGTTACTGGCCTCATACCCCAAAAGAAATCTGAGTGCATCTGTTACTGACCTGAAGTGCAACACGAATATGCACATGATTACTGAACTACAACCACAATACTAATAGGTATAAAAATTCTGGCCTTTTTTCCCATTAAAATCTAAGTACAAGTTATATGTACTATAACATAGATTTTTACATCAACTGTCATAAGGATTTGAGTAATTCTTGCTAAAATACATTAACAAGACGTTTTTTTTTTTTTTCTAACTTGTTTCAAGTTAAATTTAGAAACAAATTTGGAATGACTTGATTTTGACTTTTCTAAAAAACAATTAATCTGGCCAGTCACAGAAGTCTAAACTCATAACATAATAAACATACAATAAACAGAAATCCAATCATAGCCAAAGTAAGGTTAAAATATTCATGTTGAACATAAGGGAACCAAGACTATCACAAAATCAAAGTTGTAAGAAGATAATATAAATATCCACACTCTGTAGGTAAACAATATTGTGGAACAGGCTATGATATGGTAAAAAAAGTTTTTAAATACACCCTGCTCAGATAATGGGGTAAAAACAGTTTGAAGATTATTATGTGAGTGTATCACAAAAGTAAAATGAACATTAATTAACATTAATGATCATTCCAGCTGTTAAACAATTATAAATTTATTATTTTTGTTGCAATCAAATGAGCGCTAAATGAGCAAATAATATTCACTAAATTCAAACATTTCACAAGACAAAGAAGGTTAATATAAAAATTATTAATACAAAATCTTATGCTTTGGTTGATGAATTAAAAATGACAAATTTCACAGCCAACTCTCACATGGAACAAATAAATATATAAATGCAATCCCCAGAGAGACTAGCATATTTTTTTTTTCATTTCATAAAAAAAATGAAAACAAAAATTTAAATGCTGCTAACAAAACAAAATAAAAGGTTGGGAAATTAAATTAAATATCACAAAACAAAATAAAAATGACCTCAATGTAGCCAGTAAAACTTGTACAAAACTGCAAAAAAATTTAACTTTGAAATGGAAGTTACTCAATGAGCTGACTCTAGAAGTGACTTGACACAGATTTTCCTCAGAAAGTCAATATCACCCCCCATATTAGGCCAGCTTTCCAAAAAATGTTACTTTCCCACATTTCTTTTTTAGAAATGAAGACAAAACTAAGAGCTCATGGCAGTGAGTTCACATTATGGTTTTAACTATTTTTTAGTCCCAAACACCCCTAATCTGCTATGTGATGTTATTTATGATAAACCTTATAGGCCAGAATTTAAAGACTCTCTCTCTCTCAACAGGTAAGATTAAAAACAATTGTGACAACCCTTCAGGCTAGGTTTTAAAGTCTAGCTCTACAAGTAACAACAAAAACTGTTTTAACATTATTTTAGGCTAGAATTAAAACCTAAATCTACATGTAAGAACAATCATTGAAACAATTTTAGAAAATGTGCCATTTACATCAACACCTAAACACCAAAATAATCAAAGTACCTTATTGTAATTTATATTATTATTTTAATAATTCAACTATTTTTATCTACTAAATGCATAACACTTTACGTCCAAATATGAGCAATTTAACATGCAAATGTCTCAAATATTTTATGCACACGATCAATGTATGATATATCATTAAAGTTGTCACAGTGGGGACTTTGTTAAACAGGTAAAATGTAATTACAGTCAAGTTGAATAGAATTATGCCAAGCAAACATCACATAGGTATATGGTAACATCATACACAAAAAACAATGACATTTCATTTTGTTAGAAATCATTGACTTTTACAGCGAGTTGAAATGAGGTTCAGTTTAGGTGAATAAAGAGAAAAAAAAATTCAGAATTTTTTTTTACATTAAACAAGTATTTTTGTGACATAATTTGGGTGAACACCTCTCTTAGTTTACATAACAGCAAGACCTATGCTTGAAATACTGAATATACTTGTTCAAAAGCTGTGTGTGTTTTAAAATCTCTTGAAAAAAAATTGCAATGGTGAAGGGTGGGGGGGGGAGGAGCCTTCATCTTAAAAATAGAGTATGGAAATAATCATTTTCTTCATGTATATCCATAAAATAATTGTTCACAATGCATATCCTGCTGTTATGAAATAGTGAGTTACACTTTTTAGGTTACCTTACATTGCACCATATGGTGAAAGGGGGTTCAAGTTACGTTTATAGATAAGTCAACTTTTAGAAGTGTACTTCAATGCCCAACTCATAAACAAAAAATTATGCTAAGCTATAAACTTGTTGGAGATTTTTGTATTGCTTCAGTTGCCCATCAAAATGATCATAATAAATCATACATAACTAATACAAAAATAAGAAAAGTATTTATTATATGTTGTTATTGCGTGTTGGGAGCAAATATTCTTGAGTTTATTCTGTAAAGACAAAATCCTTATTTTTATTTTTCTTGAAGCACCATGAATAGAAATGAATAACTAGTGCAAGTTTAAGATGTGCTAGAAACAATACCTAGAACTCAATTTGACAATGCTGGAAGCCGTAATTGATTAAAATTTATTACTGTTATATATGAATATTGTAAATAGTTTAATCATTTTTTATCTTTCCACTTTTTTCTTTTAGTAAAATAAAACTCCACAATTTGTAAATAATAGGCACAATTAGATAATGTATTCCAATCAAGCAGTTAATAAACACTTAGGATATAAAATAATGAGTCAAGTTTCAAATACTTTTTTTTTGTAATAAATAATTTAACATTTGTATCACTTTAGTTTTTGTAATCTGGCTTTTCATTGGACTGGATGAAAAATTGTCAAATATGGTAAAATAATAAACCAACTGATAAAAGTGAAAGTGGGTTGTTTCTAATAGCTGTCAGGCTCACTAAATGGTTTGACATCAGCAAGGTCCACCAAACCTTCCCTCTTTCCACAAGAGCAGTACAGGTACTGGGAGTCCAGCTGAGCCAGAACCTGCAAGAAAAACATGCAAGTTTTATCAGAAAATATTTACACAATTTTAGAGAAGGATATAAATAATAGATAACAAAACATAAAACTATGAATAGCCACATAGACAAGGAAAAACTCCAATGACAATTAATTATCATTTTGGATAAATTACTTAAAAATGCTTAACATGCAAGATTTATGAAAAAATATTTATCCAATTTTAGAGAAGGAAATAAATAATAGAAAATAGAACAAAATACTATGAACAGCCGCATAGACAAACTAATGACAACTGGTTATTATTTTGGATAACTATCTCCAGTTTTTTTTATAAAGAAAAAAGTTTTAATATGCAAGTTTCATAAAGAAATATTTACATAATTTCAAAGAAGGAAATAAATAATACAAAACAAAACAAAACAAAATACTATGAATAGTCACAAAGACAAGAAAAAAATGCTAACGAAATTAATTATCATTTTGGATAACTATCTTGTTTTTAAAAAAACATGCTAAGTAAATCTTGGATAGCTTAACCACATTTCTAATTCACATCTTATAATTAAATTAAAAAAAAAAAAGATAAAATGGGTTTTAAATTGCAATGAAACACCTAATTTTGAACCACAATTATTAATCAGTCGTTTAAAACCAATACTCTTGTATTCAACCAATAGAAACAGTTTTATCATGTCCACAACAATTCTATTCTTTATAAAAGTTGTGTGAATTGAAGGTTATTTTACCTGCAAATAGTCCCCTTCTGAGAAGGCAAGTTTATCAGAATTATGTTCTTCTGGACAACTTGTCAGGGCCACCACATACCTGGTGGAGAACAAAACAAACAACTTGTTAAAAACAAAAGCTTGGCTGATAAACAATAATGTGAAGAGCATCATCATGGTGTTAGATAGCAATGAAAATGGAATGGTTAGAAGAAAACATCAAAGAGGAAGACATTCTCAAGGCACTCTTTCATCACACAGTGGCATGCTACAGAGAAAAAAAAAACATGACAATCATTCATACTTGTACTCTGGTACACTAGAACTACTGTCTGCTTTCCCATTCCATAGGCAAGACTGAGTAACATCGATTGAGCCAACAACCTTTCGACTTTCACTGTCGGACTCGCTGAGGGATGCCTCGGACAAGTTCTCTTCCACGGCCACGGGGGCGGAGATGACGATGGCGGCGGGGACAGTGGGGGTAGGTGTGGTGGTGGTGGTGGCAGCAGGCTCTGTGGGTTTAGCCGCAGGGCTGGTCGACTTGTCGGTCATCACGGAGCTCCACACGGGAAAAGATTCTCCGTACGGGACGTCGTACATGGACAGAGGCCTGGCCTGAGATTTGTACTCCATGACCTCGCTTGATTCCATGCAGTCAAAGTCGCGGTCAATGAATGCTGAGAGTGGTCGGGATTTGGGGAAGTTTTCCGCGCTCTTGTTGCGCACTGCACCGGCTGTTGTGATGATCTTGCAGCTGAGTTCTTTCTCTTCTTGAATTATCTTCTCCTTGTCGGGGTTTGCGGCTTTTGATTTAAAGAAAATGGACCTTATTTTGCTGGGAGTGCTCTCCCCTGTGCGTTTGATGGTTAAGTCTAATGGAAGATTGTCAGGCTTTGATGGGGTGACTGGGGTAGAGGGCTGGGTGATTGTCACAGACGTTTCTATGTTAGGAATTATAGGTAGTGCACCGTGAGCAGGAAGGCTGGCACTTTCTGCATGAACTGGGGTAACAGCTTCTTCTGCTTTACCTTCTGCTCCTTTTTCGGGCGTCTTGTTTTTGTCTGTGGGGAGGAGGATGCGGTCAAAGAAGGAGAGAAGGCTGAACCCTGACCTGGGAGATTTCTTCAGTGCCTGCGGGATGGGCTGCGGTTGGGATTTCTCCAGGGGTAGGCTCAGGTTAGCTTGAGCATCCTTGATCTCAGCAAGGGTGGGTTTTGTTTTCTCCGCTTGTTCAGAGATCTGCGTTGTAGTCGCGGCTGTGTTGTCTTCCCCCTCTTGTTGACCTGCGGGTTCTGTTGTTCCCTTGTCTTGAGTAGAGGGAGCTGTAATCTCAGCAGCTTGTGTGGTCTTAGGTTCCGTGTTATCTCCTACATTCACCACTTCCTGAGCTTCACTTGTTTTCTCTACAGTCTGGTTGATGGAACACTTCTCTATCACCCTCTCATCCTCAACAACAGCTGGCAAGTTGGCAACCTGAGCCTGACGTATTAACTCAATATTTGGCAGGGTGTACACAGCAGAGTTCTCACAAATTTTGATTGGCTCGTCCACTTTCCGCACGTGCTCTTCGTATTTCCTAACCTCCTCCCAATCAATGTCCTCAGACTTGATGGAATTTGTATAGTTCTCGTTAGTGACCGTCATCTCTGTGTAGACGCCGGCATCCTCGTCGCTGTCTTTCGTTACTTCAGTCAAAACTTTCACAGACAAACTTTTATCAGAATCATTAACCTTTAAACTCTGAACTCTGCCTTCAGCTCTCAGCATGCCATCGGCAACTCTGCTCAAGTTTTTGTTGACGAGTGTGCTGGCGTCTCTGTGCACGACTTCCTCCTCCTCCTGGATGAAAAGATCGGACATGTTGTTTCGGCCGTAGCGGTCGACGGGGCTGCTGTGGTCACGTACGACAGCCGGGAGGGATGAGTCGTCAGGGATGTTGATGTTGCATGTTTTAGTGTACTCGGCCGCATCCTGTCTGGCTCCGTTCACTTTAACAGTTGGGTTTTCAACTTCTCGTTCATTTACAACTTCGTTAACTTTCTTGGGGTCAGATTTAGGTTTCACTTCCTCCGCCACGGTTTCTTTGTCAGGGGTGACTTTAGCAGCAGATGACGGGGAAGATGAAGATGAGGAAGAGCCTATCTTGGCGGCAACCGAGGCCAGGGCGTTGGAGATGGTTGGGTTTTTGAACCACCTCCAGGCCGAGCTGCCACCACCAGTGCTGGAGACTGAGGTTGTTGTTTTCAGAGTGGTTGCCGTGGGCGACGTCGTCGTGGAGACGGCCAAGCCAACCTGCTTGGGTGGGTGCTGGGCGTTGTGGTTTAAGTTGTGGATTTCAACAGCAGCCTCAGTCAACTTTTCATTGTTGGCCTGAAATTTTTTAAGTTTATTTTAATACCACTCAAATATTACTGAAGTGACTACATGAAAAAAAGCTCTAATTATAATTGTTACATAACGCAACGAAAATGAATTAAGGACAAGTACATAATTTAATATGCAAGTTTAATGCAAACAAAATTACTTTGATGCAAGTTTAATGCACACAAAATTGCTTTGATGAAAATATTGCTAAAGAACTACTGTTTTTTTTGTTTTTTTTGTTTACTTTCCACTATACAAGTATATGCCCAGTTTTGTAGGACAAAATTTAAATGAGTGCACTTTAACCTTGTCCTATAGTTTGCTGAATGCTGTGATGTTAATCCTCTTTTAACTTTCCTACTTTACAGTGTTGTCCAACATTTCATTACTTTTCACAATGACAAACAGGTGTATGGACTTTGTGCTTAAATCTTATCTACTCTATTTATCTATGTACATAGCTTATCTACATATCCATCTCACAATAAACTTTCCCTTACCTCAAAGTTGGCCACACCAGAGGTAACCATGATGCAGCTGTCACTCATAACAAGAGTTGCTATTGGCCCAAAATCCAACTGGAAGGGCAGAACAGCCAATGGCTGTAGAGCTACTAACAGACTGCTATAGGACTGCTCCAGGATACCCTGAAATTATTTAAAATAAAACATTTTAAATATGTATTTAATATTGTTCCAATTAGTCTGTAATGATAATTTCAATTCTAGAATTTTACTGAATAAAAAGTTTTTTATTCTTTAAACAAACTTTGCAATACACTTCTAAATTAATAAGATGCTTCACCTTAAGACTTGCTCGCAGACAAGCATCTTCATGATAAACCCTTGGCACCAAATTTTCCTTACAGCGCACATAGCCCAGCCAGAAATCCAGTAATCTTAGACTGAGTAGAAAATAAACAGAAACATCATAATAGGTTGATCGTTACAAAATTAACTCATGACTAATGGATTTTTATTTTTCTGTTAAATGTATTCCTAATTATGTTATCATAAGTCAAAGATGTTTTCTATAAGGATGTTGAATACATTATTGTATGCGTTGAAATCAGATTATGGAGCTGAAATTAATCAAGGACTTACTTCAGCAGGCCAGCTACAAAAGCATAGAACTTGTGTCTGTTGGAGGTTAAGCTTTGCTTCTGCTTCAAGCACTTGGCCAGGTCATGCAGAGGTCTAGTGTAAGGACCTTTCAATCAACACACAAAAATAATTACTGAGACTTGTCTTAAAAGCTGGCATTTTTACACAACACCCACCTGATCCCTAACAAAAACCTTAACAGGGCCTCAAAAGGCTGGTAAAGATGTATTTAGTCAAACTAACAAAATTATTTTTAGCACTGATGGAAAAATCCTGAAATATAACACTCAAGTAAAGTAACGAGTCAACCAATATAATTAGAAAAAGTGCATTGGTTTGGTTGACCATGATTATTATATAGACGATTATCATAAAATTAACTAAAATTAAATATCAACTGATTATAATAGAAAAATAATGGTAGACATTAAGGTTGTAAAATCAGTACATTTCTATTTGAAAATAAAGATGTTCTATATTATATATATTAACCTACTAGAAGAACATAAAAGAAATGAATTCCCATAATTATAAAAGAAGATAGTAACCTAGTTCTGCTGTCATCTCAGCCACCCTCCAGGGACTGAGCTTGACTTTACCAAACAGGTGGACGCCACTCTCAAAGTCTCTCATCCCATGGGCCACCACCCTCTCCACAGCAGGGCAGAGTTCACAGTACACAAGGGCAGCAACTTCAGGGGAGTCAACTGAGCTGCCTAACCTCAGCTGAAGGCATTGCAAACACAGGTGTAAAACCCACCATCTAATCTCAATTACGATTAACTTTTATTCTAAAATTTAAGTTATAGGCCAATGTATTGATTATTTTTGTTCTTTACATTTTAAAAAGAGAATAATATTTTTAATCAACCAAGATTTAAACATAAAACATAGTTTAGTTATGCATACTTATTCATTCATATCAGTTAACTTAAAAAATAAAATTAGATTAAGATTTTTAGAAATTTTTAAAAATTACTTAAAGAAATATTTTTAATGCATTTAATTATGCTTGTTTAATGATACGATATAAAACCAAAACAGGGATGAAAAGAATGATAAAAAAAATGGTGTTTACTTTTTCAAATGGGTCTTTGGCTTGAGCAAAATGTTGGAGCAGAGAATCAGCAGCCTGGGCAATACCTTTCAGCAGCACTAGACAGAGAGATGTGTGAAGTTTAACAAATAGCACTAGACAGAGAGATGTGTGAAGTTTAACAAATAGCACTAGACAGAGAGATGTGTGAAGTTTAACAAATAGCACTAGACTAATTGAAATGTGATGCTTAAAACAGAACAATAAACAAATTGATGTATTTTCCTGTAAAAAGTTTACAAAAAACACAAAAATCTTCATAAATATAATTTAGAATAAACCAAAATTCTTATATATTTAAAGTGTAGAGTTTTATTTTTACAACTTTGAAAACCGAAAAAAATGGTTATTATGACAACCAAAGAGATAAGAGGAAATTAAAAATAATTACATAAATTATTGTTCTCCATGAGGGAAGCAGTTGGCTCCAGAATCAGGTCAGACGCAGGTGCTGGGACTGGTTCTATGGCACCCTTTACGTCAGACTCAGGGGTGGAGGTAGCCGCTGATGACTGGGAGGAGGAAACTGATGAAGTTGATGTGACGGCTGGGGACTGGTCAGGGTGGCCAGATTTCTTAATGCTGTTCTTGTCTGCTGATTTGGTCTTTGATGCTTGGACTGAAATTATATTTTTTTTTCAGTGTTAAGCTGCACTTTTCATGTTTCTGCAACTAATTCTCAATTGAAAGTTAAAGACTTAAATATTTCTTAGGTCAATTTTAATCTAGGATTATTAGTATTGTTTAAGCTGTTATTGATTTTTATAAAACTTATTTTTCTTTACAGCCAAATATTATGCCATTATTCTTAGAATTGTTACAAAAATAAATCAAAAATGAAATACAAAACATGGAAAAAAATAATTATATATATTAAAAAAAAAAATTTTCAGGTTTTTTGAAATTTTTTTTTTAAATTTCTATTTTCAACTAAATGCCTTTGACTTGAAAACTAGTTCCTTAAAAATAGTTCATCTGACTCTAATATAACCCCAGATAAATTATTTTACCTCCTTCAATCAAACGAAGAGTGAGCAGATCCCCACCCATCTCTATAGCCTCCACTTCAATCACTGTCTTGCCTTCCTCCCCTTTACGTTTGGGAGAAGCTTTGGGAGACTGGTGAGGGGAGTGGAAGGACACCTCAGAGGCAAAGCTAACTCTCTTGGACTTGGAGGAGTCCTCGGAGGTGGTGGAGGAGGATGTGGAGGAGGTGACAGTGGAGTGAGATGTGGAGGAGGATGATGAGGAGGAGTGGCGCCCCCTATGTTTGGGCTTCCTCCTTCTTACAACTTCTGTGGAAAAAAACAAAATATTTCTTCAAGTCTAATATGCAAACAATGTTTTACAATTTATTTAAATTATTTTATTGATAATTCCATAATAGAAAATGAAAAAAATTTGTTAGGCTATTCCAGCATAAATTGAAATTATAGTTTATATTAATTTTAACCACACTGAATTGCAGAAAAAATCAAAACATGTTATTCAAACACATCATTGAAATATAAACAAATGTTTATCCATCATAAAATACAACTAGAGAGCAAAAAATTTATTTTAGAATTCCCCAATAAGATTATTCAATTAAACATATTAAAAAAATATGGTCCACCCACATAATAAAACAGACCCACTTACCAGTGTTGAAGTTGACAATATCATAATCTGGAAAACCATCCTCAGTGACTAGCACAGGCATGTTCCCATCACAAGCAATGGAGTGGCGATTGGATGTGTTCAGCCTGCGGGGTGGTTTGGTTGGGGCCTGACTTTCAAGGGAAGTCCTGAGTAGAGAAAACAAGCAAATTGGTAATATTTTCTTTACAATTTAATGTTTACTTAAGTTACATAAGGGGAAGTCCTGAATGGAGAACAAGCAAATTGGTAATATTTTCTTTACAATTCACTGTTTACATAAGTATTTGTTGTATGGAGTATTGGTTGACTACATGGTAATGCTTGCAATTATTACTGACTCTAGCTATTCATGCTGACTCTAGTGACCCCTACAGACTCTAGTGATCCCTACTGCCTCTAGTGATCCCTACAGACTCTAGTGATCCCTACTGCCTCTAGTGATCCCTACAGACTCTAGTGATCCCTACAGACTCTAGTGATCGCTAGTGACTCTAGTGATCCCTACTGACTCTAGTGATCGCTAGTGACTCTAGTGATCACTAGTGACTGTAGTGATCGCTAGTGACTCAAGTGATCCCTACTAACTCTAGTGATTGCCAGTGACTCCTGTAAATAAACCTGATGTAATTAAAACCAAAGTACTTTAAGAAATTAAATGGAATGCAAATATAAGTATTAATATAACATCTGAGAAATTTTTTTTTTTAAATGAACATTATTGAAACCTACCCTGAAGCAGTTTTCCTCAGACAAGACTTGAGAGGTTTCCTCTCCTGCAGCCACTTGTGGTAGCGCCTTATGAGCTCATCATCAACACTGGGCACACAGTTGTTCTCATGGTGGTGGTGGTGGTGGTGGTGGTGGTGCTCAAGGTGATCTTCATGGCAGCAGTTGCCTGGTGGGAAAACACAGACCACATGATAAAGATAAACTCTACAAGGACAAAGGAAACACAGACCACATGATAAAGATAAACTCTACAAGGACAAAGGAAACACAGACCACATGATAAAGATAAACTCTACCAGGACAAAGGAAACACAAACTACATGATAAAACTACACACCACTAGGAAACAGGAAACATACAATTGTATAAATATAAACTCTATGTGGACAAAGGAAAAACAAACTACATTTTAAAACTACACACTACAAAGATACAAGAAATACCAACTACATTATAAAAATAAACTCCATAAGGACAAAGGAAAAACAAACAACATGATAAAACTTCAAGATACAGGAAACACAAACTACATCATGAAATGTTACACTACTAAAAGATTTTTTAAAAATACAATTCAAAAGTAAAAACGAAAAAAATTAAAGCATTTCTTTAAATATACTTAATTCTGTATTTTTAAAATAAATGTAAAGGCAAAAGAAAATAACATTTTGTCAATTAATGTGGATATATTTTTTTAGTTATTTGTGAATGAAAGTTTTAGCTATTGATAACTCAAATAGTTTTTGTGGTAGTGTGTTTAAGTTTTAATACATAGGCCAGTGAAATAGTTGAACAACTTCATCTACACATCTGGTCTAAAAGGGTACTTTGAAAAGTATATTTCTAGAATATTCATGACCTTGTTTCAAAAATTGGCAATGGTTATAACAGAATAAAATGTAACACCTCATAGTTTGAATATATAGGCTTCAAATGATTGAAGTTTTTGTAGTAGTGTGTTTATGTTTAAATTACAGAGGCCAATGAAATAGTTCAACTCAACTTCCTCTGCACAAAGGACCATCTGGTCTAAAAGGGTACTTTGAAAAGTATATTTCAAATAATAATCATTAAAAAAGTTTTAAAAAACCCACGTTTTCTGATTGAACTAAAAAGTAGAAAATAAATACTATACATCACAATAATGCAAGCGATCACTCTACTATAAGCGATGAAAAACGTGGGGCGCCGAAGTAAAAGTTATATTACTATTGATTAGATAATACTATTGACTTTTATTAGGGAGCTTGTAGAGAGTCAACAGTATTAGAAACTGTAAGAAAATCACGGCGCCCCACGTTTTTCATCGCTTATAGTAGAGTGGTCGCTTGCATTATTGTGATGTATAGTATTTATTTTCTACTTTTTAGTTCAATCAGAAAACGTGGGTTTTTTAAAACTTTTTTAATGATTATTATTTTCTACTTTTTAGTCTTTGTCTGTTTGTTTGCATTGAAATCTTGCTATCGATTTTATCTTTTCACTTTTTTTTGGGTAAACGAAGACAACTCGTAAAAAGACAACTCGTAAAAAACGAGAGACCCTTTCTTCTTCGGTCTCAATCGCAAGTGAATGATTGTCAGAGGTTAGTTGATAGCGGTTAGGACGAGGGCTGGTTACTGACTAGAACACATAGATTTGAACCCGTGTCGAGTGGGATAGCAATCGTGTGCCCAACCACTCGACCATATCGTCTCCCCCAAACTGGCCACCAGTGGTAATAGTTACCTCCTGTAAGTTTAAAGTCGGTTCAAACTAAATTATCTGCCCCTAAGCCTGTCGCGACGTGGGATCGTTCACTTCACTGCGCGCGGCAAGAGAGAGGCGAGCTACGCGTCGCTCGTTTTTTTTCTAATGGCTCGCAGAGGAGAATTATATATATAGATTATATAGCGGTCTAAAATGCTCAATAAAATGTTTCCATTGATCAATTTAGTAGTAATAACAATTGAATATTCTATGGTCATCCAAAAGAAAGCTTCCCTGAAAATTTCAGCGCGCTAGCTAACTGGGAAGTGCCAGAAATTTCGATCGCAAGATTTGATTGGAAAGACAAACAGAGAAAGCAAGTTAAAGAAAACGTGGGAAAAATATTCATGACAATAAATGTAACACCTCATAGTTTAAGGATTCAAACTATTGATTCTATTTCAGGTTGAGTATTGTACAGAGCAGAGTAGAAAGCATAACCACATACCATGATGGTCCCATGGAGCATGCCAAACATCCTTACAGAAGCTGCTGCTCTGCTGGGGTGCGAAGTCATCATAGGAGAGGTTGGAGGAGGCTGAGCTGTGGCCACTCTCCTCCTGCAGAGAATAGAGGGCATCAAAGTTGTACGTGTTCAGGGAGGAGCCTGTGCTCCATCGTCTCTTAGGGTGGGGCACTTGGGAAACTTGTTTTTTTATTTCCACATGCTCGTGGTCATTGGCCGCGGAGATATCTGCATCCTGTTCACACTTGTGTCCAGTGGATGGGTACGGTTCGTTTAGGACCCTTTTACTTGAGCTTACAGCCGGGACAGCCACAACAGTATGAGCACTACTGTTGGAGGAGGATTCACTACAGGGGGTGTCTGATTTAGGCCGTCTGCGTACCACTTCGGATCCGCTCTTCTTGGCAAGCAAAGCGTTCCCGCTGGCGGAGGTCTTCATGTCGGTGAGGGAGCTGAACATCTGCAGCTGGGCAATGACGCTGGGCGGGTTCTCCACCTCCACCTCAATCATCTTACAGCACTGGTTGTCCACAGACGCCTCGTCCTGGTCCTTCTCGGAGCAGGTCTCGCAGCTGTTGATGGCGGCTTTCAGGTTCTCCCGCTCCAGGCTGCTCTCCAGGTGAGGAGGCTGGAAGAGGATCCTCTCCAGGTCGGCCGGCATCTCCACGCAACCCCGGCCGTTGATGATGGGTGGGTTGAGGTCAAGGTCAACCTGCTCGTCATCCTCCAATCTTTCGCTGCAGTGACAACACTGTGGAGGGGTGTGGTCCTCCCCGAGGATCTCCTGTAGCTCTGATGGGATATCCCCCACACAGCTGCACTCTGGGACATTGTGTTCCTGGCAGTCGTTGCACTGGGCCAGGTGGCAGACCTCATGGTGGTTACACTCCAACACATGGTTCTCAAACTGGTCCCCATGGCCACAGTCACACTCCCCATGTTCCATCTCCTGGCAGTTCTCCACAACATCCACATTCTCCCTGCCGCTCTCCACATAGTTAACATTCTCATTGACAGGCGAGTCGTTATAAGCATTTCTCTCCTCATTGAATGAGTTCTTCGGAATTTTGTTCCTCTGTTTCTGAAGTAAAGAATTCTTTGCAGTGTTGTCCAAGTTCCGGCTCATGGCTGATTTCTTTGGCTTTTTATCCAGACTGTTGTACCCAAACCCGGATTCCTTGCCCCTGGTTACTGTGGGCAATTTACTGGATGTCTTGACATCCTGTTTAACACTATAAGAAGAACCATTGGAAGAATTGGAGGAGAATGAACCAGAAGAACTGGGTCCTTTAGTTACTGGAACTGGAATCTTTCCTTTCTTTAAAATCAACCGCTGTTTGTTGGGTTCAGTGCCATTTTTGTTGAAGCCAACTCTGCCATTGTCGCTCTCAACACTACTTTGTTTTTGGAGTTTGGATGTTCTGTTGCTTGTTGTGTTAGGTTTGAGTTCTGGTTTTATACTGCTGAGCTCCTCAGTGATTTGTTCTTCCTCAAGGGTTTTAGACTCGATGGTTGACGTGGAGGAGTTTTTCTGGTCGCTTTTGCTGGAGGAGACGGACGAGGATGAGAAACAGCTGACCACGTACTGTCCGCTGGTGACTTTTTTAGAGGAGGATGAAGAAGATGATGTGGACGAGGTAGAAGACTTGGAGATGTTGTTGCCACTGCTGGCCGTGCTGCTGCCCACAGCACTGGAGTAGTTGCTCTCTGTGGGGGTGAAACCTCCACTGCCACCACTACCACTCCGGCCATCATCCGCTACATCCTCTACAACCTTCTCCTCACAGTTTATAGGGTCATAACCATCACATGGAGAGTTCTGATACTGGGTGCTGTTTGTTGTCCTCACTCCTGTCTTAGATTTCAGCCCATTTCTTCCTTCATAACCAGCAGCTACATTTTCACGCGAGTCATGTCTATTCAGCACACCGGTACTGGCTGATTTCGTTGCAGCGTTTCTCAGCAACCTTGAGCAGCTCGGGGAGTGAGAAACAGCGCGGGTTGTTCTTGGGTTTGTTGTTTTCTGAAGAACTTTAGCATTCTTAGCTGTATCTAACCGCGAGCTGGACACGCTGGATGTACGTTTTATTGAAGAGAATTTGGTCTGCTGGTCTCGGAGAGTTAGCGTGTCGTAGCTGCTTGACCTGGCTTTGTTCAGGTTTGTGACAGGGGAGCCTTTAAGCCTGGCGTTGACCTGTTTTATATTGTGTTCAGTCAGGACGTGGTCGGCGAACAAGTCGGGTTTTTTGTGAGGCGAGCACTGGGACTGGCCACAACAAAGTGAAGGGGAGCCTCTGGATTTGTTGATGTACGTCGGGGAGTTTCCGCTGAAGGATTTTGATTTTTTTGTAAATTTGTCGTTTGATTTGGCCGGCGAGCTCTGGCTCCTTGGTGAGCAGGGGCATCCGCAGCAGGACATGGTCTGTCTGCGAGAGGGTGAGTACGAGTGGGACCGGCAGGGGGAGCAGGAATGGGACCGGGGTTGATCCTGACCTACTATAGGGCTGAGGATTATGGGAATTTTTACTGGGTCGAACAGGGACGAATCCGGGGAGTTTGGTGCGGATTCTTCACTGGTTTTTAATCCAATAGGACAGCCCTGGTATGATTTTCTTTTCTCTTTAAGGAAACTTAGATCTGGGAGGGAGCGATGAGTGTAGTACGAGTTGAGCCCCATCCTGGAGGGTGAAAGACTAGCATTGCGGTAAATATCGACGTTTTTGACTCGAGATAAGTAACAGTCGTTGGCCGAAGCAGCCCGGTGCATCTGATGTGAGGGAGAGACATTCTTCTGGGGAGATCTGCTGGTTTCTCTGGCTTGGTAGTCCCCATAGTTTGTTCCGTTCAAATATTCTTCCACGTTTTCGTCTTGCCTGCGATGGCTATACCCATACTGCCTTGCATCACAACCGTACCCGTTATCATAATCATGATTAACCGGCCTTTCGCAGCCGTCATCCTGCGATATAGGTCTCATGTCCTTGTTCTGATAGCCTTCATTGGTCTCTCTGCTGTAGCGGCCACAGACTTCCTCCAAGAGAGAAAACAGATCCTTCTCTGGGGAGTAGGGGGAGGTCTGCTGGTACTGGTGGTTGAGCTGGGGGTCTGGCAGACCTTCTAGAGATGTCTGCAGGCCACAGTCTTGAGTCCTGAATACGGACAAAAAAATTATATTTTCTTAATGAGTAAGCACACTTTAGTTAATATTTTATATTTTAATTTTAACAGTCTTAAACATGTTCTAGCTATTAGCTATTTTTGAATTTTAATAGTCCTAAAGCAAATACATAATAAACAGGCAGTGGTTTCATGGGTTTACAGTAACTAAAAGACTACAAGGTTGAGTACTAACAGGCAACAGGAATTTACAGAATTAATACATTATGAGTCTTAAAGGTCATCCATTTATAACATCCACAAGGGGGGGGGGGGGGCAGGGCGGCTTGAAAAAATTGACTTCTGCAAGTGGACTTTTAAAAGGGATTTATGTGGACTTCGGTGGACAGGCCCAAAATCCAAAAAATGTGTGAACGTCATAAATGGATGAACCCTTACTGATAATCTGACAGGGGCTGGGCCTTAAATTCCCTTTAAATGCATTAGTTACACTGACTATTTGATCAGAAAATGAGTATTTTTCTATAACACTTTCATAAAATGTCTAAGAAAGTACTAAACAGTTCACATTTCCATGTGTAAAGTATCCTTTCAGACATCTGTGTATGAAGGGATGGTGTGATACCCAGGCTTCATTATTTTCTCTAACATGAGTCATATAACTATTCAAGCTAGGTGATTTCAGGTATGTTCTCAAGACATGATCCTGACTTAGCATTAAATTATTTTACCTGAACCAGCTGACTTACCTCGGAGGAAACTGTGATGAAAAGTTCCTTGTCCCCAGCCACAGGGTCACAGTACTGGGTGACATGAGGGTCTCCTTAGAGGTCATCAGCCGGAGTGAGCGTAGGGTCTGTGTGCAGCCAGTCTTCATGTTGGCCGTGTTGGTGCCGGTGTCTGCCTTGTGCAGGTCCAGGTGCAGCTTCTCCCTGTTCTCAAACTCCGCCCTCAACTGGGCTTTCTTCTGCATGATGTCACTGCGCTGGACACACATGTTGTAGAAGGGATAGTGGCCTGAGAAAGTTAAAAACATTGCCGTCAATATCTTTTAACAATAAATATGTATATGTAACAATAAATGAATATCTAATTTATTAATTTTTTGTGTTGAAAATGTTAAAACATTTTAGTTAATATTTTGAATTAAAAGATGTAGAATAGTTAGATAGTGTCCGATGTTATTAATATTTTGTTAATAAAGGCCATTTTTTTTTTCAAATCAATTGCAAGTGGCAATACATTTTTTTTTTATTTTGAAATATACATTGATGAGTATTAGAACTGCATTAGCATGTCATTTAATTATGTGTCCATAATAGTGTTTCACACTGGGTATGTTTAGTAAAAGCATACTGTTTCTTATTGTACTTAACCCCATACGGTGAGTCTACAGTTTGTACAAGTTATTACCTGATGTACTTAATACCTGTGCGATGAGTGTACAGTTTGTACAAGTTAATACCTGATGTACTTAAAACCTGTGCGATGAGTGTACAGTTTGTACAAGTTATTACCTGATGTACTTAACCCCTGTGTGATGAGAATACAGTTTGTACAAGTTATTACCTGATGTACTTAATGATTGTGCAATGAATCTACAGTTTGTACAAGTTATTACCTGATGAGCAGGCAGTCTACAGTGTGTACCAGTTATTACCTGATGAGCAAGCAGTCTACAGTGTGTACCAGTTATTACCTGATGAGCAGGCAGTCTACAGTGTGTACCAGTTATTACCTGAGGAGCAGGCAGTCTACAGTGTGTACCAGTTATTACCTGATGAGCAGGCAGTCTACAGTGTGTACCAGTTATTACCTGATGAGCAGGCAGTCTACAGTGTGTACCAGTTATTACCTGATGAGCAGGCAGTCTACAGTGTGTACCAGTTATTACCTGATGAGCAGGCAGTCTACAGTGTGTACCAGTTATTACCTGAGGAGCAGGCAGTCTACAGTGTGTACCAGTTATTACCTGATGAGCAGGCAGTCTACAGTGTGTACCAGTTATTACCTGATGAGCAAGCAGTCTACAGTGTGTACCAGTTATTACCTGATGAGCAGGCAGTCTACAGTGTGTACCAGTTATTACCTGATGAGCAGGCAGTCTACAGTGTGTACCAGTTATTACCTGATGAGCAAGCAGTCTACAGTGTGTACCAGTTATTACCTGATGAGCAGGCAGTCTACAGTGTGTACCAGTTATTACCTGATGAGCAGGCAGTCTACAGTGTGTACCAGTTATTACCTGATGAGCAGGCAGTCTACAGTGTGTACCAGTTATTACCTGATGAGCAGGCAGTCTACAGTGTGTACCAGTTATTACCTGATGAGCAGGCAGTCTACAGTGTGTACCAGTTATTACCTGAGGAGCAGGCAGTCTACAGTGTGTACCAGTTATTACCTGATGAGCAGGCAGTCTACAGTGTGTACCAGTTATTACCTGATGAGCAGGCAGAGTCGCAGGAGGTGGTGGCACTGTGGCAGCAGCTTCGTTGTTGGTGCTGGGGCTGTTGGTGCTGCTGGTCTGTGGGCTGGACCACATCTTCAGCATTTAAAAAGCCTTCCCTCAGTAAAATCTGGTACATGGGGAATAAACATTTGTATTTATTTAGTGCCATTTACTGTGAATGTATTATAATTGTTTTACATAATATTTATTTTATTCTTCTTATGTTTACAAAAATAAACAAAGGTTACAATCTGAACAATGTGTAACATAATAAAGCAGTATCCCACCAAGCTGGATATAAAAATGTCTATGTATATAAGTTAACTGGAGCTTTCAGATAAAACTTTAAAAACTGTTGAATAATTATTTTAAGTTAGTCTTAATTGTCTAAATTAAATAAACTGTATTATATGCTTTACATAAACTGATCAACTGTACATTGCCTGTTTGTATAACTTTTGTTTATATTATCTTACTTATTGTAAGCTAATTAAAAATAGTCTGTTGCATTTTCTAGGTGACAAAATATATTTGACATTACTTTGTACTTTTTGCATCTATTTTATAATTCAAATTTTATATAAAAATCACAATCTATTGTACATTATCCACTTTAAGTTACCCCATTTCATTTTACATCTACAATAAACAGTTTTTATTGTATCTTCAATCAGATATATCACAATCTGTTTAAACATTATCAAGTCTATTGTTACCACATTTCATTTTACTTTAATATACAATAAACAATTTTTACTGTATATTAAATTTTAAATCAGACCTATCTTGTCTAATCTCCAGTAACTGACCTGGTCTATCTTAGCCAGGGTGTCTGGGGAGGGAGGGTTTGACTGGGTCCTGAGTCTCCAGTAACTGACCTGGTCTATCTTGTCTTATCTCCAGTAACTGACCTGGTCTATCTTAGCCAGGGTGTCTGGGGAGGGAGGGTTTGACTGGGTCCTGAGTCTCCAGTAACTGACCTGATCTATCTTGTCTTATCTCCAGTAACTGACCTGATCTATCTTGTCTTATCTCCAGTAACTGACCTGATCTATCTTGTCTTATCTCCAGTAACTGACCTGATCTATCTTAGCCAGGGTGTCTGGGGAGGGAGGGTTTGACTGGGTCCTGAGTCTCCAGTAACTGACCTGATCTATCTTGTCTAATCTCCAGTAACTGACCTGGTCTATCTTAGCCAGGGTGTCTGGGGAGGGAGGGTTTGACTGGGTCCTGAGTCTCCAGTAACTGACCTGGTCTATCTTGTCTTATCTCCAGTAACTGACCTGATCTATCTTGTCTTATCTCCAGTAACTGACCTGATCTATCTTGTCTAATCTCCAGTAACTGACCTGATCTATCTTGTCTTATCTCCAGTAACTGACCTGATCTATCTTAGCCAGGGTGTCTGGGGAGGGAGGGTTTGACTGGGTCCTGAGTCTCCAGTAACTGACCTGATCTATCTTGTCTTATCTCCAGTAACTGACCTGATCTATCTTGTCTTATCTCCAGTAACTGACCTGATCTATCTTGTCTAATCTCCAGTAACTGACCTGATCTATCTTGTCTTATCTCCAGTAACTGACCTGATCTATCTTGTCTAATCTCCAGTAACTGACCTGATCTATCTTAGCCAGGGTGTCTGGGGAGGGAGGGTTTGACTGGGTCCTGAGTCTCCAGTAACTGACCTGATCTATCTTGTCTTATCTCCAGTAACTGACCTGATCTATCTTGTCTTATCTCCAGTAACTGACCTGATCTATCTTGTCTTATCTCCAGTAACTGACCTGATCTATCTTAGCCAGGGTGTCTGGGGAGGGAGGGTTTGACTGGGTCCTGAGTCTCCAGTAACTGACCTGATCTATCTTGTCTAATCTCCAGTAACTGACCTGATCTATCTTGTCTTATCTCCAGTAACTGACCTGATCTATCTTAGCCAGGGTGTCTGGGGAGGGAGGGTTTGACTGGGTCCTGAGTCTCCAGTAACTGACCTGATCTATCTTGTCTAATCTCCAGTAACTGACCTGATCTATCTTAGCCAGGGTGTCTGGGGAGGGAGGGTTTGACTGGGTCCTGAGTCTCCAGTAACTGACCTGATCTATCTTGTCTAATCTCCAGTAACTGACCTGATCTATCTTGTCTTATCTCCAGTAACTGACCTGGTCTATCTTGTCTTATCTCCAGTAACTGACCTGATCTATCTTGTCTAATCTCCAGTAACTGACCTGATCTATCTTGTCTAATCTCCAGTAACTGACCTGATCTATCTTGTCTTATCTCCAGTAACTGACCTGATCTATCTTGTCTTATCTCCAGTAACTGACCTGATCTATCTTGTCTTATCTCCAGTAACTGACCTGATCTATCTTGTCTTATCTCCAGTAACTGACCTGATCTATCTTGTCTTATCTCCAGTAACTGACCTGATCTATCTTAGCCAGGGTGTCTGGGGAGGGAGGGTTTGACTGGGTCCTGAGTCTCCAGTAACTGACCTGATCTATCTTGTCTTATCTCCAGTAACTGACCTGATCTATCTTGTCTTATCTCCAGTAACTGACCTGGTCTATCTTGTCTTATCTCCAGTAACTGACCTGGTCTATCTTGTCTTATCTCCAGTAACTGACCTGATCTATCTTGTCTAATCTCCAGTAACTGACCTGATCTATCTTGTCTAATCTCCAGTAACTGACCTGATCTATCTTGTCTTATCTCCAGTAACTGACCTGATCTATCTTGTCTTATCTCCAGTAACTGACCTGATCTATCTTGTCTTATCTCCAGTAACTGACCTGATCTATCTTGTCTTATCTCCAGTAACTGACCTGATCTATCTTGTCTTATCTCCAGTAACTGACCTGATCTATCTTGTCTAATCTCCAGTAACTGACCTGATCTATCTTGTCTAATCTCCAGTAACTGACCTGATCTATCTTGTCTAATCTCCAGTAACTGACCTGATCTATCTTGTCTTATCTCCAGTAACTGACCTGATCTATCTTAGCCAGGGTGTCTGGGGAGGGAGGGTTTGACTGGGTCCTGAGTCTCCAGTAACTGACCTGATCTATCTTGTCTTATCTCCAGTAACTGACCTGATCTATCTTAGCCAGGGTGTCTGGGGAGGGAGGGTTTGACTGGGTCCTGAGTCTCCAGTAACTGACCTGATCTATCTTAGCCAGGGTGTCTGGGGAGGGAGGGTTTGACTGGGTCCTGAGTCTCTGGTACAAGTCCAAGATGTAGGACGAGTGCCTCTTGTGATGGAAACTTTTCTCCGCCTCCTCTGTGTCTCGGCTGTACTCTTTAGCCTTCTCCTTCACCTTGACCACCTCCTCATCATCCGACGTCTCCTCAGAGAACCGACTGAACAGCCTGAAACCATACGGACATTCTTTAGTGGCTGGTCAAACACACAATGCAACATTTTAAATAAGACAAGGAATATGACCTAACAATCTCAAAGAAAACAAAAAAATTTAACCCAACACTTTTACTGACAAAAACAACTTGATCTAACACACTTTTGACTAGACCAAGAACCTAGCCTACCATTTACACTATTAAAACAAAAACAAACTTGTTACTTTTAATGAAATATATAAAAACACTAACGTGTTACTTTTAATGAAATATACAAAAAACTAATGGTTTACTTTTAATGAAATATATAAAAAAACTAACGTATTACTTTTAATGAAATATGCAAAAAACTAATGTGTTACTTTTAATAAAATATACAAAAAACTAACGTGTTACTTTTAATGAAATATACAAAAAACTAACGTGTTACTTTTAATGAAATATACAAAAAACTAACGTGTTACTTTTAATGAAATATACAAAAAACGTATGTGTTACTTTTAATGAAATATACAAAAATCTAGCATATTAATTTTAATGAAATATACAAAAATCTAACATGTTAATTTTAATGAAATATACAACATGACTGAAAAAAAATTCATAAAGACAAGAAACCAGACAAAGCAGTTTAACAAAGAACACTTATCCTACCTGTTTGTGGTAAGCTCAGGTAAAGACTTTGATTTCTCCACGTTCAGCTCATGTGTTTTACCCAGGTTGCGCAGATTTCTGATTTGTTTCCATGTTGTTAGTTTCCCACTTCTCTTAATGAAGGACCCATTAGATTGTTTAGCTGCAGACACAAGGCACAGTTATATTTTCACTTTAACAGGACAATATATTATAATATCAAGAGCTTGCTTAATATTTAAAAAAGGTTGATTTTAAATATTGTTTTATTCTATTAAAAAAATATATATAAAAATATTTCAAAATTATTTTTCAATTATATAATTTTGTATCTCTAAATATGTAACTAGCAGATGGCATGTTTTAAATAAGAACTTTTATAATCTAGGTAAGGTCTGTGATCTCCTACTTACGTGCACAGTGTTTCTCTAGCTCCCCACTGGACAGAAGAGCTGCACACAGGGGAGATAACTTGTGAGAGCCAGCACTTTGACTCAATGATGCTGGTGATCCAGATGACTGGGACAGATACTCCTGGGAACAGAATAGAAGATTGTTAATTTAAAGGGACAAAAATGTAGTCCTTACCTAAATAGTGCCTGAATTTTACAAAAACAAGTTTGTTAAAAATTGTAATTTATGCTTATGTAATCAAAATGTATTGATACTATGACATTCTTCAATTTTAGTCTTCGAGAGATGGGGGTTATAGTTATAGGAAACTTCTGTAAATTTTATTGCTTAAAAAAAATTAAGCTTGGAAATTTAAGGAAAAGTGAGTTACATTTTCATCTCTTTTCAAATCTTCACATCTTGTATTACAAAAGCCTATTAATGAATACTAGCATGTTTTTAACAACTATCATTATTCAAATTATTTCTCATGATAATAGCACTTTTTAAAATATTTGCAAACCAATTACCTGCAGTGCCTCTAGACATATTCTGCCAGGATATCTGCTTCCCTTCATGTTCCAAGTACACAGACGACCTTTGGCCTCCCCGCTGACAGGAACTACAGCACTCCCACCAGAGTTGCCTGCCCCTGCAGAGTTTGATGAAGCTCTTGACTTGAGGTTGGCAAACTGGAAACTGCTGGACTGCTCATCTTCAGCTTCACCTCCAGAGCTCATGGATCTGCTACCTGTTTGAGTGTTGCATTTGGAGACTTAGTTTAATTTACAAGCAGAATTATGAATAAGGAGGAAGAATTTAAACTAAGCTGGAGGTTTATGAAATCAGTGGCGTAGCCAGGATCGTCTCAAGGGGGGGTTCCAATTTTTACCCGGGGACAAACTTTCGATTTGCACCCCCCCCCCAGACTTTTGATTTGCACCCCGCCTCAGACTTTCGATTTGCACCCCCCTCATACTTTATTTATATATATATGTGACGAGCGAACATTTATCCTGCCGACAACGCCAATTGTAACGAGCCAACAGTTACCATGCTCGCAACGCCACATGTAATGAGACCTAATTGCCTGTAGTGCCACGTGTTAACGAGTTTAACCACTCATTCTAGACAACATTGACCACAGTATAGATACTCAAGATGCAGGTTCGCTATTGATCCTTTATTACATGAATCAAGAAATGCTTCATAATAACACAATAAATCAACAGGAATGCTTCTCAATAATAGTCTGAATCAACTGACCCCTAACAGTCCTTCACTAGGCTTTATATAACTGAATCCACATGTCCATAATCCTCCTTAACACAATACGGCTAACCCGTTCTATAACCGACTTGACATAGTCACACAGACTGACTGATCTAAGCGAGCGATGAAGATGGAAGAGAGCTCGCTGAAACGGGAAGAGAGAGAACGAGTCCTGCCGTGCCCTCCTATTTATGCCTTGTATCCGTACTCGTCTGCGTACTTGTATTCCTCCGTAATCGATACTTGTACTCGATCTCCGACCACCAGTTGCGTAGTTCAAACGTACAGACCGTAAAATAACATCTGCGTCCTATCCATCAAAGCCGACAGGCCGTCTGAATACCGTTTCCCAAAATAGCACGCGCCGGCTTTGAGGTTGTTAGCCCGACCCAATAAGCCACCTGTTATCGGTTGCATCAGACCAACACTGTGTCTCGGCTTCTCGTTCGTTATCATTTGTAACTGGTAGTTAGGCCTACCCCAGTTACATCCACCCCTGCTTTTTTTGTGTGTTTTCAACCACAAACAACGCCTGGCAGGTGCACTCCTGCAAAGTCAATCGCACAGTCGTAAAAAAAAAATCTATTGTTCTACTCACTGTCCACGACGTTCCATTCGTATACGATTGACAGTTCTACCTATTTCACATATCAACTGTGTCTACATCATCTTTCTGAGACACAAAACAGTTCTAGAATTCACATCCACCCTTTCCATTTGGTGCCTTCACCAGTTCACTTCTATAGCTCTTTGAACAGTCTGTTTTCATACCAGCGCGACCATGAAAGAATTGATGGTTGCTGACAAAAAATTTCGTATTCCTTCTGTTCCTTAAACTTCTCCGCGGACCACTTATCTGATGGTCTACTGTCTCTCTGCTTCTGGAGGGACCGGGATCCTCATTGTTGCCGGTATCCTCCCCTTGCGTATCGCTGTTGTTCTGTTGATGGTGATATGGTTCCGGAATGGGTATGTGAATTTCCGTTATAACTTCCGGTTCCCTAATTGTCTTGGGTTTCTCTGTGTGTAACTGCTCTTCTTGCCTATTCCAATATTTCTTTAATTGAGCAATATTCGCCCACCGATCCGGTTTGGCGTGATCGATGGGTCTTATCTTAAAGGGGCCACCTGCTACTTTAGGCATCTCCAAGACTTGCCATATCTCCTGTCCCCAGAGGTCGTGGATCTTGTTTCTGCCTAACGGGTGGCTACGCAGTAATACCCTGTCATTCAGTTTGAGTGGCGGGTCCTTCGTCTGTATCGGCGGTTCCCTTCGCCGAGATTCATGTTCTAGTCTTTCCTGTACTACCCTGTACATTTCTCTAATTCTTCTCATATGTTCATTCACATATTCCAGTGCGGTGTATGAGCCAGTCATACTCTCCCTTTTTCCTAGGAACAAATCAAGAGGGAGTCGAGCCTCTCGTCCGAACAGCAACATGTATGGCGAAAAGCCGGTTGTGGCATGTGGTGTGCAGTTGTATAGATATACCAACTCTGGGAGAAAATCAGGCCAACGTTTTTTCTGTTCAGGTTCTAGCGTACGCAGCAAATCATGCATGCTGCGGTTGAACCGTTCACACTGTCCGTTTCCTTTCGGATTAAATGTGGTTGTTCTAGATTTGTTGATCCCGTAGTGGTTGCACAGTTGGTTAATTACTTCTGACTCAAAGGCCCTTCCTTGGTCAGAGTGTAATTGTCTTGGTATGCCATATTTGATGAACCAATGTTCTAATAATACCTTTGCCACTGTTTTGGCAGTCTGATCTCGTGTGGGCACCGCCACCGTCCATTTGGTGAATACATCAGTCATTACCAACACATGTTCCGTCCCATCCGATGATTGCTCCAACGACGTAAAGTCCATAGCCACAATCTCTAGTGGTTTTGTCGCTAGTAGGTGTCCTGATGTCTGTCTCATTTTGACAACTGGCATTTTCGCATGCTGACACCTCACACAAGCCTCACAATGGCGTTTGACCTCCATTTCCATATTGGGCCAGTAACACCTCCGTCGTAATATTTTGTGGGTTCTGTCCTGACCCTGGTGTCCTGCCCTGTCATGTGCCAACCTTAGCACTTCTCCTCGTAATTGTCCCGGCACCACCACCTGGTGTATTGTGCCATCAATTTGGTCATGAATTCTCCGCATGAGAACACCATCCTTTATACTGAGACGGTTCCACTGACTCAGTATTTTCTTTGTTTCTCGACCAAATTGTTCTCTTTCCCTTCTTCCTGGGAATTTTTGTTCCTGGACGTGTTTCAATAGCGGTTGTAAGCCACTATCCGTTCTCTGGGCATCTCTTATCTTTTGGTGATTAAGGCAATTAAAATCACTACTGTCCATATGTTCGGGTTCCGTGGATATGTGCTCCACCCCGGTCTGCCCGTTTTGCATCACTTGTACCCCATGAGGGATATCTGTTGACGCTCTGACCTCACATATTCCTGTCAGTGTTTCTTCCTCATCACCCGGTCTCTCGTAAGGATTCCTTGATAAGGCGTCCGCATTGCCATTGGACCGCCCCGGGCGATACTTTATCTCTAGGTCAAAGAGTGCCAATTCTGCTGCCCATCGCTGTTCGATGGATCCTAGCTTTGCTGTCTTTAGGTGACTCAAGGGGTTATTGTCAGTGTATACCACACATTTAGCACCTAAGAGATAGTCCCTGAATTTCTCAGTCACAGCCCATTTTAATGTCAAAAGTTCTAGTTTCATGGCGCTGTAATTTGTCATGTTTCTCTCTGATCCCTTCAGAGCTCGACTGGCATACGCAATAACCCTGAAACCTTGCTTTTGTTGTTGTGATAGCACAGCTCCCAGGCCTTTAGAGCTGGCGTCAATTTCTAACCGAAATGGTTTGTCAAAGTCCGCGTATCCCAATATCGGTGCCTCTGTCAAAGCCTTTTTCAAGAGCTTAAACGAGTTCAGGCATTCATCAGTCCATAATTCACCTATCAGTTGTGTTTTACCTTTCTTTTTCTCCTTACTGTGTTTCTTTGTCATTTTGTTTACCAAGTCATGCAATGGTGCGGCAATTTTTGCAAAACCCGGCACAAATTTTCTATAATATGAAGCAAAGCCCAAGAATGACCTGACCTCTACCGTAGTTGTTGGTTGTTTCCATTCTTTAACAGCTGCAATTTTATCTGGGTCAGTGGCGATGCCATCCGACGAAATCACGTAACCCAAAAAATGTACCGATTTCAAACCAAAGCAGCATTTGTCTGGGTTCAGCTTTACTCCTATCTCCCTAAGACGGAGAAACACTTGTTCTAATCTTTTTAGATGGTCCTCCCAAGTTTTTGAGTAAACTAGAATATCATCCAAATACACCAACATTATTTGAAATAGAAAGTCACTCATAGCACTCTGCATTACTCGCTGGAATGTAGCAGGTGCATTAGTTAGACCAAACGGCATACGGGTCCACTCGTACAGTCCCAGTGGAGAAATAAATGCAGTTTTATGTTGATCGTTGGGGTGCATGGCCACTTGGTGGTAGCCACTGGCCAAATCCAAGGTAGAAAAAAATCTTGCTCCCCCCAACGCATCAAGACATTCATCAATACGAGGCAAGGGGAATGCATCCCTTCTTGTGATATTGTTCAATTTCCGGTAATCACAACACAGTCTTATCTCCCCTGACTTCTTTTTTACCACTACTATCGGTGCCGCATACGGGCTCGTGCTGGTTGTAATAATTCCCTTTTTTAGTAGATCGTTCAGGTGTGCTTTCACCGCAGAGTAGTGACTTGGTGGCAATCTTCGATAAGGTTGCGCCACCGGCTTGTCTTGTAGTAAGGGTATCTGGTGTTTTATTACTTCCGTGTACCCCAAATCACCCTCATACGAGGCAAATATATCACTGTATTTATTCAGCAATTCATTTAGTTTTGGGTCCTCAGTTTCCGGGAATGTATATGATCGGCCATCTTCTTTCTTCACCTCGGCCGTCACATTGACCGACCTAATTGTTACTTCATTACTACTGGTATTGATCAGTTCGATGCACTGTGCCGACCTTTGTACCTCGACGTTCTGTGGTACTCCTACCAGAGTGTTAGGCGGTATAAAAATTTCTTCATCCAAAACATTTGCTACCAACCCTTGAACTAGTCCGTTTTCCGCTGATGTGTATGTCCGCAGTAACACGACGCCTGCCCTCAGTGCGGCGCCACATGGTTCTATCATCACATCACCATTCACGCTTCTATCACCAATTTGTAATGTGATTGCCTTGACCGTGTTTGCCGGGACTGCTGTCCTTCCTCTGGTCTTGGCAAACCTGGCCAACTTGGATCCCCGACCTGGTGTGGTCGATCCGACAATATTTGTAAGAAATTCTGGCAACTGGCCAAGAATATTCATGCCCAACAGGCAAGGTATATTTGACACATTTGTCTCTAGGTTGTGTTTCGTAACGAACACCCCAACCTGCTTCAACCTATGTCCTGCCACCACGACATCCGCCA